GAATGTCTTTGTGCGCACACCTGGGCAAGCACGCGTCGACTTGCGTGCGTGTATATCCTGAATGTCTCTATGCGCACACCTGCGCAAGCACGCGTGGACTTGAAGTGCGTCTATGTCATGGATGTCTCTGTGCGCACACCTGCGCAAGCACGCGTCGACTTGTGCGCACACCTGCGCAAGCACGCGTCGACTTGGAGTGCGTGTATATCCTGAATGTCTCTGTGCGCACACCTGCGCAAGCACGCGTCGACTTCGAGTGCGTGTATATCATGAAGGTCTCTGTGCGCACACCTGCGCAAGCATGCGTCCTCTGTGCGCACACCTGCGCAAGCATGCGTCGACTTCCAGTGCGTATTTATCCTGAATGTCTCTGTGCGCACACCTGCGCAAGCACGCGTCGACTTGTGCGCACACCTGCGCAAGGCCGCGTCGACTTCCAATGCGTGTATATCATGAATGACTTTGTGCGCACACCTGCGCAAGCACGCGTCGACTTGCGTGCGGACGAAGATGCACACGCGCACGGAACACCACACCGCTGTTTCGGCGTCGACATCTATGGAGACAGAGCCCTCCACCACCAGCCGCCCCCCTGTCAGCACATGCACTCGCAAGGCGCGCTGGCGATGTCCCTGCTGCTCGGTGGCGCTGTGCCTGAGCTGTGCCAAGAGGCTGATGGCCGACGCTACCAGGGACGATGGACAGCCCGACGTGTCTCCGCTGGTCCAAGTGAAGCACTTTGCACAGCCAAGTGCTGACGTCACGTCGGAGAGTGAGGACCAGGGACCTGCGCAGCAGCCGCAGGAGGAGGAGCAGGCCGCAGGAGGGGAGAGACATGCGGGCAGCTGGGAGCTGGCCTCGGAGGCCTCTGACGGCAGCCTAGACGAGGCCGAGCTGGTGATGAGTTCTGGGGAGGGTGTCCAACAGCAACCTATGACGACGATGGTTTCGTCCTCCAGACGGATAGCGCACAGATCGCTGCCAAGCTGCACGACGAGGCAGCTTCAATGGGTTGGATGACGATCCCGAGGGAGTTCCTGCTTAATCCGATCTATGGCCTCCTGTCGCGGGACCGCCCCATTGCGGCAACCTGGACCAGCAGGCCTTCCTGCAAAACATCGCGGCCACGTCGCCTGGCACGACATGTCCTCTGCTCTACCCTGATGTAGGCAGCCACTCACACGTCAAAGGAAAGGAGAAGGGGCTGCAACGTGTTTCTCTCTCGCTCCTTTTGGTCCAGGCCCTGCTTTTCCCGAGCATTTTCTTCCACATGCTCTCGGACGGCACACCGGTCGGTGCGCTTCCCGCTCCACCAAAAAGTGATCAGCAAACACCTTCACCTCATCGTCATTAATCCACTGCCGTGCGTGCACTTCGTCCTTTGTGTGGCTGCAAGGGATGGTGTCTCTGACATCATCATCTCTTCCAATTCCATTATGAACAGTGTTATGTCGGGCGACGGCAACGGAGAAGCAGGTGCTTACGTACTCTTCGGCAGCAGTGGTTGGTCCCCCCAGTGGTGTAAGCAACGACAAGACAAACACGTGAAGCAGATGTGTGATGTGTTTTCTCATGTGTCTCAGCGGCAAATGATTCCCTTATAGCTCTGCTGGCTGATGGCGATGTCTCAATCAGAAATGACTATGGAGTTGAGGGTGATCCATTGGAGGGCTGCGTTGTTGAGGATGGAGACAAAGTCGAAAAATTCACCTTAAACTGCTCTCTCGCATCCACCGGCGGCCGGCGCATAACAATACGGCCGAACTGCTCAATCAGCAGAGTGCAGGGGACCAACTTTGGCGACTACATTTCCAGGTGAGACCCACACGACGAAGGGTCGACAGACGAACACGGAAAACGTATGGTTACCCATCTTCAGCTACGTCTCAGATACCCACCTCGAGGGCCTCAATGGAACCGACTTTCTCTATTGCAGGCTGTCGTATCATGATCGCTGTCACCTCGATGGTGGAGAAGGAGCCGACAGTCTCTATCCTTCTGCAGGACCGCAGAATATCCTCTACGGCGGCAACGACACTGACGGAGATTACTTTCGCCTCGACAATAGCGTCAACACAACATCTTTGACAATCATGGATATGATGCCCGATTTCGAAGACGCGATCAGCGTCGTTGATTTCAGCGATCTCTCCCGGTGGTCTGCTGTTGAGCCTCTACTAACTGGAAATGCCACAGACACGACGATGCAGCTCGATGATAAGAACTCGCTCCGGATCAAAAGCGTGCTACCGAACGACCTTGCTGAGGCAAACTTCAGATTTGCACCCTTACATATGCGACACATCCATGCGCAATACATACCAGGCAGCAATGCAAGCAACTCTTTTCTTCCCTCGCCTTGCATTATGTCTCCCTTGATCTATGTCAGCAACACCACTGAAGATGATGGTGATTGATGGGTTTCTCGAGCTTGAAGATATCTCTGACTCTGTCCGCGACAACCCCACTGATGACTGTGAGCTTCTGTTTGAAGATCTATCGACTAATAGCCCTCCCGCTGTCACGCCAACAGAAGAGCCGAGTCCACCTCTTGAACAAGTCGCGACCCTGAATTGCACCTCTGCAAGGAATGGGAAGCGCATCATCATCCACGCGAACAGCACCATCACAAAAGTGATCGGCACCGACTGGGCGGATGTTATTCACACATACGTCCCAACCATCTGGATCGAAGGCCTCGCAGCCTTGACGGTCAATTCACATGGGTATCGAGAAATGGGCTACAACGACCTGAGGTCATTCAACTCTGACTGCGTCAGCTGCACCATCAAAGGAGGTACAGACCCGGATTACATGCTGCAGCCGGAGGGAGATACTACCTATTTGGGGGAGAAGATGAAACGGGGCGATATTTTAGCGGCTACGATACAAGGCGAGATACTTTTGTCTTCCTGCGCACGCCGAACACAACCAATTAACTCCAAATCAACGAATTCAGCCCCAAACTGAGTTGGCGTGACAGTTTGTACCCCAACATCCTGGACCTTGGTGCGTTTCCGGGTGTTAACACGCCTAGCTCCATCATGTCTCGCATGGTCGACAAGGCCGATGGCGACATTCTCATCACACAGTTTGCCTGGACCAAGAGCACACAATCGAGATGCGCAATATTACACCTGCTCGGCTCCTGCCGCGAAACTTCTGGATGGGACAGAACCTTTCATCGCTCATTGACACCAACCAAGTGGTGATCGAGAAGGTGAATGATGACGATCCTGATGATGCGCATGTAAAGTGTACAGTCTCTCTCGAGCGACGAATGAGATCAGCTGCTTACGGTTGGAGTATCCCAAACGCTTGGCGCTCTTCGAAGACACAGTGATCGATACGCTGACGGGCTCGAAAGCAGGCGGGGACGTGCTGACGGGGAATTCGAAAGCCAATACTCTCGATGGATGGTCTGGACGCTTGCCCAGGGATACCCTTATCAGTGGGGGCGGTGACGACGGTAGGTGCAAGCACGACGTGGAGTTCAATCTCAAACGCCGTGTCTTTTTTGGCCTTCAGTGCTCCGCAACGGATACAGCTCCTCATATGCAGCCACATTGTAAGCCAAGCTCCCCGTTCCCTGTAATACATGCTCTGTGTGTGTGCGCGTATTCGTTTGTGTTTGTGTTTGTGTCTGATTGCAGAGCAATTTCGAATGTCCCCGGCCACGTCAGCATCTCCAGCATTGACGAGGACAAAGTGGATCTAACGGAGTTCCCCCAGATCAATGGGTTTACGACACTCATGACGATGGTCTCCGAAGGCAGCATAATCATAGACATCACCGCCAACCACTCAGGTGATAAGGATCAATGGAATGCCAAGTCTCTTGCAGTTGAATGAGGGCGTCCTCTGAACTTTGTTGCTGACAGTGACAATTAATGGCGAGTCGCCGAGCTCCCTACGCAACTCGTCCTTCTATCTTGCTAGCTCCGACGCCGAGCCGGTGCCTGCTTGTCAGAGCCCGTCGACGAACAAGCCGAGCGAAGCAACATCCTCTTCATCATGTCGCTTGTGATCGTCTGCGTCGTCGGCGCCATGCTTCTATTCCTCCTCTGGGCAGCTGTCTCTCTTCCTGGTTTGCACATAGAGTGGTGCAACGCCGAATTCAACATCGGCCTCGTTATAAGTCTTTTGACGTTGGCAGAGGTGATAGCGAGGGACAAAGAGACAAGGATTGGCCGCTTTGCAAGGTTATTATATATGTGCACTGTGCAGGACATATGGGCCATTCTCGTGGTGGATGAAGTGTGTGATATGAAGGTTGTTGCACACGTCTCCAATAAATTATTGCAGGGTGACCTGTGACACACATTTTTATCTTCGTCGCCTTCACCATCCACGCTCTTCTCAGCGGGTTAATTGAGGATCTCTTTGTGGACAGCAATTGGAAGAAGGCCGCGCTCACTGTCATGGAGCTCTTCCAATTTGGTCTCCTCTTTTTGCTCACGTAACATGCTCACCCTCAAAGCACACATGCAAAGACTCATTGGCTCTCTTCCTGAATCCCCTTTTACGTAGAGCAATCGGCTCGGCTGGAACCGGGTACCACTCTTATTCTTTCGGAGCAGCGGGCCGCGTGCAAATCGTCGAAATTTGGTTGCCGCTAGAGGAGTATTTTGGCTGTGTCAAAGAGACGAGGCAGAAGAAGGACAGCGACACCAAAAAACAATCCAAGGCCTCACCATTCGCTGTAGCCGACGAAAGCGGAGTGGCGGAAGAGGAGCAAGCTAAAGTCCCTGATGACGGACCCTACGGCACCTGGCTCAGCGACGTGGTCTGGCGAAAAGACGAAGGAGGACAGGAAGACAAGCAAGAAGGAGCAGCCAAGAGAAAGTCATACAAAAGGACAAAAACGGCAAAGGAACAGATGGAGGCAGACAATCGGCCGAAAGAGTCTGTCTTCATGCTGATGTGTTTGTTGAGGAGAGACCTGGACAAGCTCGTGACGATCAAGCCGGCGAAAGACAAGCGTGGACTGGTGGTGAAAGACAAGGACGGGAATGTTCGGCGAGACTACCACCTGGAAACAGGCATGCATAAATCAGCTCACCATCCTCTAGATCTGTCGACTTCTTTTCTCATGTAAGCGTAACTTACAGATCAAGAGAAGGAGGCCAGAGATAAGAAGGAAAAGGAAGAAAAGGAGAAGGCGCAAGCCGAATTTGATTTCTTCGATACAGTTGGCACCCAGAATAAGGAGGCCGACGCCTCCAAGGACGACAAAAAGGGAGACATAGTGCAGCAGCGGGTTTTACCATCGAAACTAACTCCCACGAATCCGTGGTCGTAGAGGACTTGCGGGGTGGGGTAACATAGATGTGGCGAGGCGCGGGCGGTATCGGGATGGCCCTCTTCGACCATGGATTCTGAAGATTCGGTCAGTGGTCGCCGTGATCGCCAGCGCCCACCGTGCGTGATGCCAGTCATGCGAGAGTGTTGATTGATTATTTATAGATGCTGGTCCATCAGTACACACATACAGAGATGCGGTTTATTCATATGTAGAGCTACTTGTGCTGGTCCATTAGTATATACACATGGAAGTCATAAATGTAGACAAGTAGATAGAGGTACTCATGTATCAACTTGAAGGCTCTCACTCCGTTGATACATACGTGCGAGAAGCGCTGCCGTCACCCACACTCACACCACCCACACGGAGACACATATGCTTGCTGCTGTTGCTGGTAGTCCGTCTACTCCTGGCCCTCCACCTCGCCCTCATACACAAATAGAGAGAATACATACATAGACTTTCCTCTATGCGTCACTCTCTGCCACCCAACCATCACTGCCTGCCGGTGTGCCACTGCCCGCCTGTGTGTTGTCGTCTGCATTGCCTTCTTCACGAGCAGTAATCTCGACATCAATCTCCTGACGCAGGCGGCCCAGCAGGTCGCGCACATACTCCAACGACACGTCCTCCACCCCGCCCAAATCCCATCCCTCCCGCTAAGCACGTGAGAAAGCATTGATTGAGCATTGTCTGTCCTCCGCACGCACGATTAAGCAAGCACGCATCGTATATCCCCATACTACAGGTAAATGGCCTGTATTACCTGTACACCGCCGAGCAAGCTAAGGAATGAATGATGTCGGTGTCTCTCTAGAAAATAAACGAGAAATATGGGCACATATCTGCAGGCTGAACCTCGCCCCCCTTGTCGGCATCCACCATACGAAGCACGAAGACTTCAAGATACGGAAGCATAAGCGATGCACTGCATACAGACAGGCAGACAGACAGACAGACAGACAGGAAAGGCAGAAAGAGGACAGGGATAAGGGAGCGACAGACAAGGGTCCATCCTTGCAACATATAACAGTGTCTGTGTCTCCATCACAGCTTACACGCGGATCCCCATCCAGAGGCACGTGAGAAATTCGCAGCACGTGACGTCTTTCTTGTAACTGGATGACAGCAGAGGGAAGTTGTTCCATCGGACCATCACGAGAAAAAGAACCGCTTCGAAAGCGCATTCGATGCTCACCAGCACGCGCAGGCCCGCAATTCCTTGTCCAAAAGTGACAGATGACGCGGCGATGTTCAATATCCGATTAGTAATTAACACCATCAGATTGGTGTAGAGCAGGACGGTGACTTCGATAAGAGAGTACAGCCTGATTTGGTCTGACAGGGTGCGGAGGTAGCAAGGTGAGACCTCTAGAGATGCCAAAGCTGACTGCAGATTGACAGTTCGAGCGAGCGCTGGCTCCGTGCTAATAAAAGAGAGGGCTGCTGTCATGAATGTGGACTGCCGCCTCATCAGATGACTGCTCGTTGTCCTACTTTGCTGGAGTCTTGAAGCGCCGTTGTCTTTGTATGTAGGTGGTCGATCACTTGTCGCATTGTCAGCTGCACCGGTCGCGACGTTAGTGAAGGGAGGACAGTCCGTCGCCTGTGCTATCCCTTCCTGTGCTGGCTGCTGTGCAGGGGGCCTGAATTTGTTACAGCGGCCGTCGTCCAGCAGATTGGTTCGAAGGCTGGGCTGGGACCAGTTGCTGCTCACATCAGAGCATCGCTGCATGGTTCATCGCCATCCCCTTGAAGGACTCTCACAGTCCCCCGCACGGGTGAGAGAGGACAAACAGTATGCTCGGACATGCTCGAGTTATGGATGGAAGTTCTGGCCCCAAAACATCTGGGGGGCACGATCGATCTGCTTATGCGTGCGAGCTTGAAGCGCGTGCGAGCTTCTGGATGCTTAAAATGAAGGCTTCTAAAACTATCGTCCATCTGTTGTCAGTGTCAAAATCAGGCGCATAGTCATCTCATTCAAGCAAAATGGCACAGGCGATGCGACAAAAGTCAGTGCGTGTGTGTGGTGTGCGCCCGCCCGTCCCCGTGTGTCTGTGGTGTGTGCCCGCCCCGCCCCGCCCCGCCCCGCCCCGCCCCGTCCCGTCCCGTCCCGTCCCGTGTGTGTGTGTGTGTGTGTGTGTGCGTAGCTGTGTTACCTGCATGGTGCCCGCACGGGTCTCCTGAAGGATGTTCTCGTTCTTGTACGCCTTCGCATGTCCGTTCTCCATGTTTTTCTTGGCTCGGTTTTCGAGCACCTGCACATGCGTGAGGACATGCATGTATGCGTGTGCGTGTTCATCCTTCACCTTGATGAGAGCCTCGCGCAGACAGACGATGCACATCTTGTTCTTCTGGCCCAGCTTGATGAGCAGGAGCACATTCTCGTTGTGTCCCGTGTAGTTGAGGGGATTGTGGCACTTTACGCATGTGCGTCTGCCACACACCTCGCACGGCTTAGTTGGCGCCCAATTCGTTGTTGCAGATGCCGTACTTGCTCAACATGCACACCCTGCACACACACACCACACTCACTACCCAACACACACCACCCGTCTCACCTGCTGGTCTGGTCAGGGGCGACTTGCCGCCTTGCTGGTCCTTGTGGTTTTTGTTGCTCTTCTCGTCGTCCTCTTCATTGTCGAATTCGTTCTTCTTGCGCTTTTTCTTGTTCTCCGTGCCGTCTTCCTTCTTCTTCGTGTCGTCTTCCTTCTCCTTTTAATGCCCTTCTTCCCCTCCTCCATGGTCTCCTTGTAGAGGGTGTGACGCAACTCCGTCTGCCGCGTCTGCAGGGGGAGGGCGGTGTCGCGAGGCTTGAGGCTGTGGTGGAGCGGGTCAAGAAGGACATTCTCAAGGGTCCCGCCGAACATGAAGAGGTACTGTCTGCGCGTCCAGTTCTCAGGCACCAACGACGATATGATAATGTCAAACAGCAGCAGCGCGAGAAGCTGCAGCAAAGCTCACACTGTGTCGCGCCTTCCTTTCGTACGCATGTGACTTCACTGTGCCTGTGTGTGTATGTGTGTTTATATGTGTGTGTCTGGGGCTGGGCTATCGGTGTTCCTATACATCGACTAGCATGTTCGTATGAGGGCGTGTAGCGTGGGGTGTGTGTATCGGCACGGTGTCCGGTTGCGTGGCTCTTTGCGGACCTCCCTGGCCTGTGTGTGTCTGCCCCTGTGTTTTTCCTGCGGTGTGTGTACGAGCATGCTTTGTGGGTGTCTGCGAGCCGGCCGCCTGCCGCCAGCCCACTCTCCGCCGTGGAGAGTGGAGCGGCGGTGCGCTTCGCTTTCGGACATCCTCATCTCCCCGTGTGTGTTCGTGTCAAGGGCATATTTGCGTGTGACTGGTCGATCTGCATTGGCTGGCCAGCTGGGGGTGTGCGGTATGTACGTAAAGAACCATGGTCCAAGACGCACGCCGCCGTGGGGCCGCCCCATTCTGGCCGCCCGCCGGGTGGCGGGCGGGCGTGCGACGTTACTTGTCTGCTCATATGTTGCCGTCGTTTGCAGCGCATTGCATATCCACCCCTTAGCTGCTTCTGCCCTTTGCGTGCTGCGTGTGCGTGTTGCGTGTTGCATGTTGGGGTGCGTGGTGCATGTTGCATGTTGGGATGGACAGACATGGGATCACGCCGTCAGGCCCCCTAGGGTATTGCCTGAAACCGCTGACAACCAACAGATAATGCTATTGTAGCTCCACTAGTGTTATCCATCGTGGCAATGCTGTCGTCTAAATGAAGCAGCATTCTTCTACGTTTGTTCGTCGGTTTTCCCCTCCTGTAATTCCCCTATTTTCTTTATCTGTTCCTCGACAATGTTTGGGGTAGATTTCTTGTTTTACGGTTTAGATTCAAGACTTTCGCTTCTTCTGGTATTCTTACTCCCTGATATTGGACATTCGCCAACTTGTCGCTGTCATTGCAAGCCGCGCTGAGGGGAGAACATCGACCAATAGGGGTGCTGCTGACCTCTTCCTTGTCCACAGATGACTCAGCCCGCCCCTCATCTCATGGCCATGCTGCTCCTCCTTCATTGCAAACGAACCACTTGTTTCATCACGAAAGATTAGGGCCTCGGAGCAATACGAAACCGAATAGGATGTGTGACAGGTGCTTATTTCAGAGATCTCATGACAGGAGGCATCTCCTCGTGACTGAGCCACGAAATGAGTGCTCTTCACTGGGGAGGAGGCCGAGAGAGAGCCCTGGGGAGGAAGAGCTGCATTGGTGAGGAAACGATTGGAGAACGACAGTAGAGATGGGGCGTCGACTCCAATTGTCACCAGGATGTACAGCAGCTTGAGCCAATCAATATGGCCCCGTCATCTTCGATCGTGTGGCCCCACATCCACAGTGGTCTACTTTGGAATTTGTGCGTTACGTAAGGCCACGCAGTGGCAGGGACAGTCAATGAATGATGTTCAGCTGCTGATCTGCTGATGACGCTCTGGGGCCTTCCGAGCAGGCGTCTGGCGCTCTCCCTTCTTCTCATCTGCGCATGGCTGCTTCAATGCACCAAAGGTAGAGTTCTCGTTCGCAGACAACAGGGATCACAGTGCATGGCACCGCCCATCATGGCTCTCATGCGTGTGGTTTCGCAGCGACGTCTGTTTGTGGGGATGCCCACAGAGAGGCTGGAGAGCAATGCGACGACGGCAACCTCATCCCTGGCGATGGCTGCGATGAAAACTGTAAGCCACAAAAGTCAACACAAGAGGCGTGTGTGCCGCAGAAAACGTCCGTCCTTATTGTACGCATGTCCTTTCAGGTGACATAGAGACAAACTACAACTGCTACGATCCTGGCGGCTCTGGAAACCCTTCCATCTGCTCGTCTACGTGTGCATCGGCCGCAAATGGCGTCATAAGATGGAGTCCACCTGATTGGCGATATAGCGGCAGCGTCCTGGATTCTTTCACATCGTATTATATAGACGAAAAGGAGGAGTGTGCGGCAATGTGTCTATCGAGAGACGACTGTGCAGCCTTCGAGTGGAAGAACGGAACAAAGCTGTGCGCGATGACAGACCAGATTATGGGCTCCGATGCTGAGGTCGACTCTTTTTCTGGCCGCAAGATTTGCACGGATGACTGTACTGCTATCGGCCTCCAAGAGTCAGATTGCTTCCGTAGGCATTAAGCCAGCCACAATCTCTAGGAGACACAGGCAAAGCAGAGCTCTCTGTTTCCCTTTGAAATCTTTGCAGGCTTCCCTTGCCACATTGGCTGGGAGTGGCGCACCGTGGACGACTTCACATCGTTTGAGCAACACGACATGGACTGCGGAGGATCGGCGCTTCTCGGCCATCGAC